CAAAATTATGTGAAAGAAAGAACAAAGTCAAGTATGCACCAAAATGCATCCAAAATGCATCCCTGCATTTTGAATTTTCCCGACTGCGTTTAGCAACCTAAATTTCTGCACCCCTTCTGCACGCTCATCAATGGCACATTATGGGGTTGATTATAAGCTTGTGTCATATACTTACTCTGGGACACGCTACAAACGGAGTGAATTCAGTTCATGTATGGCATGAGACCTCTGGGAAAAGCCACAAATGGAGTGAATTCAGTTCATGTATGGCACGAGACCTCTGGGACACGCCACAGACGGAGTGAATTCAGTTCATGTATGGCACGAGACCTCTGGGACACGCCACAAATGGAGTGAATTCAGTTCATGTATGGCACGAGACCTCTGGGACACGCCACAGACGGAGTGAATTCAGTTCATGTATGGCACGAGACCTCTGGGAAACGCCATAAACGGAGTGGATTCAGTTCATGTATGGCACGAGACCTCTGGGGCACGCCACAGACGGAGTGAATTCAGTTCATGTATGGCACGAGACCTCTGGGACACACCACAAACGGAGTGGATTCAGTTCATGTATGGCACGAGACCTCTGGGACACCCCACAAACGGATTGAATTCAGTTCATGTATGGCACGAGACTTCAGGGACACGCCATAAACGGAGTGGATTCAGTTCATGTATGGCACGAGACGCCATAATGCCTCCCACAAAAACTTAAAAATGTCCTTCCCGTTCAAAAGTATACCGGTAATAGAAACATTGATTTCAAGTATACTCAAAAATATACCTCTTGATTTTGAAATAATCAAAAATTAAGTTAATGATACCAGCAATGTTAAGTTAATGAGACCAGCAATTAATGTTAAGTTAATGAGACCAGAAATTAATGTTTAATTAATGAGACCAACAATTAATGTTAAGTTAATGAGACCAGCAATTAATGTTAAGTTAATGATACCAGCATTTAATGTAAATTTAATGATACCAACATTTAATGTTAAGTTAATGAGACCAGCAATTAATGTTAAGTTAATGAGACCAGCAATTAATGTTAAGTTAATGAGACCAGCAATTAATGTTAAGTTAATGATACCAGCATTTAATGTTAATTTAATGATACCAACATTTAATGTTAAGTTAATGAGACCAGCAATTAATGTTAAGTTAATGATACCAGCATTTAATGTTAATTTAATGATACCAGCATTTAATGTTAAGTTAATGAGACCAGCAATTAATGTTAAGTTAATGATACCAGCATTTAATGTTAATTTAATGATACCAACAATTAATGTTAAGTTAATGAGACCAGCAATTAATGTTAAGTTAATGATACCAGCATTTAATGTTAATTTAATGATACCAACATTTAATGTTAAGTTAATGAGACCAGCAATTAATGTTAAGTTAATGAGACCAGCAATTAATGTTCAATTAATGAGACCAGCAATTAATGTTAAGTTAATGATAGCAGCATTTAATTTTAAGTTAATGAGACCAGCGATTTGAAATGATCAAAGTATACACTATATCGATGGAGAATTTATTGAAATTAATGAGGAAGTTAACAATGATGATGTTTTATCTGGGGCCGTCCATATAGTACCGGTATGTATCTGGAGCCGTCCATATAGTACCGGTATTGATGCAAACAAGTAAACGTTTTCCCCCCTGTTACACAAACTTTATTAGGCACACACTATTGTTTACATCCCCATGTGTACATACAATGAGCTATGTACCCCGTGCACACCCCCATGCGTACATACAACGAGCTATGTACCACCTATACACTCCCTGCGTACATACAATGAGCTTTGGACCCCTGTACACCCCCATGCGTACATACAATGAGCTTACGTACTACATGGATGGCCCATTGATGATATATCTGAAACTGATGATGAAAGTCAATGTTGTTGCATCGTTGGCAGGGCCGTCAAGTTACTTTTGAGGGCCCGCTGCCCCCCCCCCCCTTGCATTCAAAGTTCACATTTTATGCCACAACTCAATTTGGGCCTCTTAAATATCCGAGGTCCTCTGCGGCGTGGGGGTTTCAGGACCGACGAAACGGCCCTGATCGGTGATATTAAACTGGATGGTGACGGTGGCCATCTTGATGCTCAGTGAACTTAATGACCTACATAATAACATGTTCAAATTAATGCAGTACTTTGGATTCTTGCTAGGCAATTCACCGGAGCTTAAATGTTGTTATAGATAGATAGAATCGAAGATAGAAGTTGTAATTATGATTTGGAATGCAATGGAATATAATGGAAATTTAAAGTTGATAAACTTATTATAAAAAGTGTTGGACTGCAATAAAGCTTTAAAATACATTAATAAGACACGAACAAATTGTGTCAATATAATAATATAAGTTACGATTTAATAATAATTATACATTATACACAAGTAAACGTTTCGGTACGTGCCTTCATCAGTACAAACAAACAATATTTTAAGAAGTATAAATTAAATTTGCATAATATAAATATACATATCCCACTTAAAAAAGAAAAAAATAGGAGAGGGCGCTAAAACCAGAAAAAAAAACAAAGTAAAGAGGAGTGGAAAGGAAGTGATCTGAACATAATTGTAAAACCTTTTTACACGCCGAGGTCCAACGACCCCATTGTCCAGAATAATGAGATTGTCAAGGACACTATTGAAGAACTTATTCAAGTTGGAAAATTACCCGCGTCTGCCTCAAACTTACGTATTTATGACAGTGATCTTGGTAAACCAGGCTTGGATTTGTTACCAAAGACAGGATTCTTTCAAGGCTACTCATTCTGACACTAGGGATAGGTCTAAATTTAGTTTAACTTTTCATCCCCATAACCTAAAAGCTCGTTTTCTGGTTCTGAAAAACCACTCCATTATTATGGCAGACCCTGTCACAAATGAGATTTTTAGAAAACCTCCTCTTTTCGCTTTCCGGAGGGACAAGGGACACGATAGTTAGAAGCCAGCTCCCTGCTATTAAAGCACATAAAGGCACACAAAGTTTCAACCGAAGCCATTGTAACTCATGTCCCTACGTGATTGAAGCTGATAAGATCACTTTCCCTCTGGAAATATTCAGAATAAAAGATGGCTTTACATGCGCAAGTCGCAACGTGATTTACAACATCATTTGCAAAAAGTGCGGTAAATTATACATCGGAGAGACAGGTCGTCGCCTTGGAGACAGGTTCAGAGAACACCTCTATAACATAAATAAACAAGCTCTCTGTCCGATCTCTAAACATTTCAATAGCCCTAACCATGATGGTATCTCAGACATCGCAGTTACTGGTATACGCTTACTAGTAACACTACAGATAGAATATATATGGAGAACAAATTAATAACAAGATTTGGTACGTTGTCTCCATATGGAATAATCCAAATCCACCTAGTTGCCATGTCTTTTTTCTGTTTGTTATTTACAATTATGTTGAGATCACTCCATTTCCACTCCTCTTTACTTTGTTTTTGTCTGGTTTTATTGCCCTCTCCTATTTTTTCTTCTTTTTTTTTAGGTAGGATATGTATATTTATATTATGCAAACGTAAAGGCTATTGCTGAGACTTATACCCAAGACGTCATTTGCGTGTTTATTTAATATTTGTGCAGGAGTAATTCTCTTTTGTTTATTTTATTCTTAATTTTATTGGATGAAGTTTCGGAAGTGGTGGCTGCGAAGTAATATTTTAATAACCGGTTGGAACAAGATTTCATGTGAATAATTAACGAAGATTAAAAGAAAAAATAAATTTTATGATTTTAAAACTGAAATTATATGTTTTTAAAATTCACGCAGAGAGTGTGGAAATGTCAGAATGTTAGAAATATTAATGAAAAATAGAGAAATTAATTTTCGTATAAAGTACTTTAAAGTAATGCGGATATAGAAAGGTGTGCTTAAATATGACGTCACTGTCGTCTTACTGTGCTCCGGTGTCCGGCGGTAAGTTCAACATTTTTTTTAATATTTTTTTTTATTTTTTTTTTTGGCTTTTGCATCTACAATTTGGTTTTAATTTTAGATTTAGGTAAGCTTAGATTTATCTGTCAATCTCCCCAATTTTACCCACTCCGCCTAAGCTCTCACTCACCAAAACACATGCTTCCGCACATACCTCGCTGCAAAAGCTCACCCAGTCGGTTACAGTACTTCGATTAACCCCCAATTCTGTCGCAATATCTCCCAAAGGCAGTTTTTTCACCCAAAAGTGTGTCAATAATAGAATGTCACTAAATGTCAATCTACTTTCACTAAACCACGATCCCTTCCTCATACTACGCATAATATAGCCATGGTTTTTGTCGTGACATCTCCATGCAAACCTATCTGAAACATGTGCACTTAAACACAATTTCATACCCTTCTTACAATTAGGATATTCGTACCGGTCGGCAATAAGACCATCACTCATGACCCAATCCATCACACTCATTTTACCCTGAGCTTCCAGACGATTCCAACTAAAAAACGGGCGGAAAATTTAACTTGCACAACCAATTTGGCTACCACCAATTTATCTTAAAAACAACAACCGGTAAACATTGGAGATGCAAACAAAACAACAACAAATTTTGAACTACTTATTTTTTTTGTCGGCCGCCATCTTGGTTGACAAGGTCCTTGACCTTCTCACGGATCATGTCAACAAAGATGGCGGCCATGTTGGGGAAACCCCGGGTATCTCTCTCATCTTTTACCTATGTAAATTTAATTTATATTTATTGAAATGTTTTTTTGTGTGTACTGATGACGGCATGTGCCGAAACGTTTACTAGTGTATAATGTATAATTATTATTAAAGCGTAACTTATATTGTTATATTGACACAATTTGTTCGTGTCTTATTAATCTATTGTTAATAATTAATAAACATTTTGAGATCGAATACAAACTTATCAATGTCCACACTGCAGCTATGTAGGAAGCCTGACAAAAAGTCTTTAATTTTTATTTGTGTCCATGTTTACGCACCCATGATCCAAAAATAGACCTGTAGGTCTCCCGGAAGTTCCTGTTAATGTAGATGTAGATGAGAAAGTTGCACGAGCTGTGCACGCATTTGACGAGACGCACCAAAAGCTGGAGGACAACGCCAACCTCCGCGTTCCAGTCCACCGAGACGACCATTTCGAGGACGAAGGCGGTGCCGATGGTAACCGTGTACGCGATGCACACCAGCATCAGGGTCCACGTCGTGCGATAGGCGGGCGCGGCTTTCTGGACGGCGACCACGACAGAGATCATCTTCTTCCTCTTCCGGTTGGCCATGCGCACGCGGACCCCGACCGTGATGCACCCCATGACGACCAGGAAAATAGGGATCGGCTCGCTTAGGATGATAGCCGCCTTCTTCACAGATGCGTAGATATCCTCGTTCGCGCATGACCGCATCGAGACGATTCGGCCGACGATTTCGTTTCCCTGCTGAACGAAGACCAGGTCCTCCAGGAAAAAGTAATACACGTTGACCGGCAGCCATATGACGCAGAACACGAAAACGGCCACCCACGTTCTCGTCGACGTCACGAGGCTCGGGAACTGAAACGGGAAGTAGACGGCGACGAGGCGTTCCAGTGTGATGAGGACGGGGAGCGTTAGGGAACACCAGTTTCCCCAGAGTTCGAGCAGGCGGTAGAACTGATACAACCCGTACAGGAGGTAAGACACCTCCTGCGAGAAATGGAAGCCCCGCCCCGCGGAGTAGGCGTGGATGAGCCCCGGGATGTTATTCACGCCCACAAGGTAAAACGAGTCGGCGAGTGACAGCGCCGCGAGGAGGATGTTGGATGTCTTCTTGAACCCGTGGCGGTAAAGCACGATGAGGCTAGAGATGTTGCCGATCATCCCGGGAAGGGAGACCACGGGGATGACCACCAGGCCGAAGACCCACTCCGCCACGCCAATTCTGTACCCGATCCCGTTGGAGCTGTCCTGGCGAAAAAGTGGGACTGTTGTGTTGGGTTGGGACGAGGTAGTGTACCAAGCCATCGCCTCGGATGTTGTCGTCGCTGTTGCCGGAGATTGTTGGTCTGTAGGGTACATGGCGTCGAGCAGGCCTGTTGTCGCTGTCGTGTCCATCTTTTCTGGAAGTTTCTAGAATGTCACAGAACTATTTCTGGATGAAAAGCGAGAGAAAGGGGCTTTTCTGAGACAAAATGGTTTTCACAATGACTTGCATGAGTTACATAGTTTCAGGCGCTTTGAAATACGTATTGAGTCACGTGGACTGCAGAAGCATTGAGTCACGTGGAGGGCAGAAGCATGTAGTCACGTGGAGTGCAGAAGCATTGAGTCAAAGGGTGTGCAGACACACCGTCACGTGATCTGAAGACACATTGAGTCACGTGGTGAGCAGATGCATTGAATCACGGGATGTGCTGGCACGCTGAGTCACGTCGTCTGTAGACACATTCATTCACGTAGGTGCAGGCATAGTGAGAAAAACTCAATCAGTAAAATGTCAGATGAATCTGTTTGAGAAGTGTGTAAAACCCGTTATTCATGTCAAAACTCGCTATTCATGTCAACTTTGTAGCTTCTAAAGGTGAAATTCAGGGGTCCTTAATTTACGGCTCACGGCGATTCCGACCTGTTAGGCGGTCCCTAAATCTGGCCGCTGTGCGGATACACGAGTTGTAGTCACAAAAATGGAACCTGATATTGACCATCTTATTGGCCCATACGTTTTACTGAAATAGCTATACGTTTTATGTACATAGAAAATGTACTCAGATAAGGTAAATAGAAAACGTACAGAGAAAATGTACATAGAAAATGTGCATGCATTTTTAATATTTGAAAGCGTTGTTTGTTCGAGTGACGAAGTCGTTCCTATAATTTGTTTTCAAACATTGTTCAGCCCGCAACAGTAGCTGGGGGACAGGACACCTGCACATGGTTTAAAATGTCTGAGGGCCCCTGCTCTAATATATTTTTGGAAATGGAAATAATACTGAAGTCAACTTAGAATCAACAAATGGCCCTATCTACAAACCCATATAATCTTGTACACAAACACACATCTTCTTATACACAAACACAATTTTTAGCTATGTAACCAATATTAATTACCATTATAAATTACCAATATCAATTACCGATATAAATTACCATTTTAAATTACCAATATCAATTACCAATATAAATTACCATTTTAAATTACCAACATCAATTACCAATATAAATTACCAATATACATCTCGAGCGAGGTGGTCTTTGAAGTCACAAAATACCTTCCTCAGATACTCACAAGTTTACGTATGAAAGCACAATAATACAGGACGCTTGACCATGAATGTGTCACTCTGGCACTGGTGGTCCTGCACTTGACCATGTATGTGTCACTCTGGAACTGGTGGTCGACGCTTGACCATGAATGTGTCACTCTGGCACTGGTGGTCCTGCACTTGACCATGTATGTGTCACTCTGGTGGTCCTGCACTTGACCATGTATGTGTCACTCTGGTGGTCCTGCACTTGACCATGAATGTGTCACTCTGGTGGTCCTGCACTTGACCATGAATGTGTCACTCTGGTGGTCCTGCACTTGACCATGAATGTGTCACTCTGGTGGTCCTGCACTTGACCATGTATGTGTCACTCTGGTGGTCCTGCACTTGACCATGAATGTGTAACTCTGGTGGTCCTGCACTTGACCATGTATGTGTCACTCTGGTGGTCCTGCACTTTCGCGACGCACGAGCTCACTTTTAAAAGGACTGGCGCGTGATCACGCGAGATTTGACTTTGCTGGTGAGCCGTTGTGCAACAGACGGGAGACACGTTTGAACGCATGACGTTTAAATAGTGCTGCACCAGTGGCTCTAAAGTTGGGAATGTGGCCCCTTCATTTTCGTCTATAGAAAATCGGTGCTCGAGCTGCCAACCATTAAAAAGTTGAAGAAGGGCGTAACTGTGATAACATTAACGAGTTGAAGTAGGGCGTAACTGTGATAAGATTAACGAGTTGAAGAAGGGCGTAACTGTGATAACATTGACGAGTTGAAGTAGGGCGTAACTGTGATAACATTGACGAGTTGAAGTAGGGCGTAACTGTGATAACATTAACGAGTTGAAGAAGGGCGTAACTGTGATAACATTGACGAGTTGAAGTAGGGCGTAACTGTGATAACATTAACGAGTTGAAGTAGGGCGTAACTGTGATAATATTAACGAGTTGAAGAAGGGCGTAACTGTGATAACATTAACGAGTTGAAGAAGGGCGTAACTGTGATAACATTAACGAGTTGAAGTAAGGCGTAGCTGGGATAAAATTAACGAGTTGAAGTAGGGCGTAACTGTGATAACATTAACGAGTTGAAGTAGGGCGTAACTGTGAAAACATTAACGAGTTGAAGTAGGGCGTAACTGTGATAACATTAACGAGTTGAAGAAGGGCGTAACTGTGATAACATTAACGAGTTGAAGAAGGGCGTTACTGTGATAATATTAACGAGTTGAAGTAGGGCATAACTGTGATAACATTAACGAGTTGAAGAAGGGCGTAACTGTGATAACATTAATGAGTTGAAGTAGGCCATAACTGTGATAACATTAACGAGTTGAAGAAGGGCGTAACTGTGATAACATTAACGAGTTGAAGAAGGGCGTTACTGTGATAATATTAACGAGTTGAAGTAGGGCATAACTGTGATAACATTAACGAGTTGAAGAAGGGCGTAACTGTGATAACATTAACGAGCGGTGATAAACCTTTCTTTTTGAAATTCTCACATAAACTTCGTAACTTTAAAGTTTACTTTCAGCACCCGTGACCTGCAAGAACAAACATTTTAGAACCCTTGGCCAAATTTTAGCCTTAAAAAATATGTCATTAAATGTTCGGAACGATGGCGGTGGAAACTTTGAAAAAAATAAAACAATAACCTGGTTAGTGATGTGTAAGTAGCTGGGTAAGTGCCACCAGGGCCCTGGGGGTGGGGGGGGGCAGATTTTGTCCACCCCTCTCTGTAGTTGTTTGAAAATGTCGATCCTCTATATGAAATTTGTATTTTTTTTAAAAATAGAGCTTGCTGGAATGGCCTGGCCGCAACGAATCTTCTTGTCCTGGTATCTTTATTGTCTACGCCACTGGTTCTGGTATCTTTATTGTCTACGCCACTGGTCCTGGTATCTTTATTGTCTACGCCACTGGTCCTGGTATCTTTATTGTCTATGCCACAGGTCCTGGTATCTTTATTGTCTACGCCACTGGTCCTGGTATCTTTATTGTCTACGCCACTGGTCCTGGTATCTTTATTGTCTACGCCACTGGTCCTGGTATCTTTATTGTCTATGCCACAGGTCCTGGTATCTTTATTGTCTACGCCACTGGTCCTGGTATCTTTATTGTCTATGCCACAGGTCCTGGTATCTTTATTGTCTACGCCACTGGTCCTGGTATCTTTATTGTCTATGCCACAGGTCCTGGTATCTTTATTGTCTACGCCACTGGTCCTGGTATCTTTATTGTCTATGCCACAGGTCCTGGTATCTTTATTGTCTACGCCACTGGTCCTGGTATCTTTATTGTCTATGCCACAGGTCCTGGTATCTTTATTGTCTACGCCACTGGTCCTGGTATCTTTATTGTCTATGCCACAGGTCCTGGTATCTTTATTGTCTACGCCACTGGTCCTGGTATCTTTATTGTCTATGCCACAGGTCCTGGTATCTTTATTGTCTACGCCACTGGTCCTGGTATCTTTATTGTCTATGCCACAGGTCCTGGTATCTTTATTGTCTACGCCACTGGTCCTGGTATCTTTATTGTCTATGCCACTGGTCCTGGTATCTTTATTGTCTACGCCACTGGTCCTGGTATCTTTATTGTCTATGCCACAGGTCCTGGTATCTTTATTGTCTACGCCACTGGTCCTGGTATCTTTATTGTCTATGCCACAGGTCCTGGTATCTTTATTGTCTACGCCACTGGTCCTGGTATCTTTATTGTCTACGCCACTGGTCCTGGTAAATTTCTTGTCTACGCCACTGGTCCTGTTAACCTCCTTGTCTATGCTACTGGTCCTGGTAACCTCCTTGTCTACGCCACTGGTCCTGGTAACCTCCTTGTCTACGCCACTGGTCCTGGTAACCTCCTTGTCTACACCACTGGTCCTGGTAACCTCCTTGTCTACGCCACTGGTCCTGGTAACCTCCTTGTCTACGCCACTGGTCCTGGTAACCTCCTTGTCTACGCCACTGGTCCTGGTAACCTCCTTGTCTACGCCACTGGTCCTGGTAACCTCCTTGTCTACGCCACTGGTCCTGGTAACCTCCTTGTCTACGCCACTGGTCCTGGTAACCTCCTTGTCTACGCCACTGGTCCTGGTAACCTCCTTGTCTACGCCACTGGTCCTGGTAACCTCCTTGTCTACACCACTGGTCCTGGTAACCTCCTTGTCTACGCCACTGGTCCTGGTAACCTCCTTGTCTACGCCACTGGTCCTGGTAACCTTCTTGTCTACACCACTGGTCCTGGTAACCTCCTTGTCTACACCACTGGTCCTGGTAACCTCCTTGTCTACGCCATTGGTTCTGGTAACCTTCTTGTCTACACCACTGGTCCTGGTAACCTCCCTGTCCACGCCACTGGTCCTGGTGACCTCCCTGTCCACGCCACTGGTCCTGGTAACCTCCTTGTCTACACCACTGGTCCTGGTAACTTTATTGTCTGCGCCACTGGTCCTGGTGACCTCCCTGTCCACGCCACTGGTCCTGGTGACCTCCCTGTCCACGCCACTGGTCCTGGTAACCTTCTTGTCTACGCCACTGGTCCTGGTAACCTTCTTGTCTACGCCTCTGGTCCTGGTATAACTATTGCTTACGTGTTAACCCCTGTTACGTCATTTACTCTTCCTCTAAGCTCTGTTACGTCTGCAGCTATAGTTCATAAG